GTGCGGCTGCACCCGGCCGGTGATGGCGACGACGCAGCCGACTTTGGTGGAGTCCATAAGCGCGATGGCCGCGTCGCGGCCGAGGGCGCGCTCCACCGTCTTGCCAATGATTAGCTGCACCTCGGCGGCGCCGCCGTCGTCGGGGTGGCGCCAGAGGCGGCGGACGTAGGCGGCCTGATGGGGTCGGGCCAAGGGGAGGAGGGGCGAAGCAGGGTGTCTTAATGTGTGTGGGTGTGTGGGTGTGTGGGTGTGAGGGTGTGTGGGTGTGTGGGTGTGTGGGTGTGTGGGTGTGTGGGTGTGGGTGTGAAGGATTGAGTGTGCTTGTGTGCCTGGGTATACGTGCATACGTGTGAGTGCGTGTGTATATGTGTATATGAGTGCTGATGTGAGTGTCCGAGTCCGCTACATAAGAGACCAAACCTGTGAAACCTAGGGACTAGGTAGCTTGGCGGGCAGCAATGAAACATGGCGGCAGCACGTAGCAGGAAGAGTGGGTTTACGCAAGGGAAAGTGGGTGCAGGGCACTCAAAGAGCAGCAGGCCAGCCTGGCTGCCCACCTGGCCGTCTGGCGGCAGCTTGGGGACGGACTCAGGGACGATGGTAACAAATAGCAGGGACTTGGCAATCCTGGGAAGGCGAACAAACGCAAGCACACACACGCGCGCGCGCGCGCGTGCGCATGCACGCGTGTGGGTCGGGCTTGAACGGGAAGCAAGACAGGTGAGGCTCGGAGGCGGCCCCGGGCGCAACCAGGAGCGGCGCTGGTTCACAAGGGGTCACGCTGCCTGCCGAACCGCCGGCGCCCTCACCCACAACCCCGCCTGACGCAAGACCTCCGCGTGGCCGCTGCGCGACCGTTGCCAATCAAGAGCGCACCAGGCTTGCGGCCCGGGCTTTTGGACGTTTCACGCGGCCGCGTACCCCTCTCCAGGCCGCGGCAACGGCCGTGGGCAGCCCCCCTTGCACCTCACCTGCGCCTCAGCGCGACAACGCCCACCAGCCGCACGGCCTCGCTCCCCGCCGGCCACGGCAGCGGCAGGCCCGCGGCCGCGCCCTGGCCGCCCTCGCCGCCGCCCGCGCCTTTGCCCCACTCGCCGTCGCTGCTGCTTCCGCTGTCGCCGCCGCTGCTCGCGCCGCCTGGGCCGACCGAAAAGTCCCCGACCTCGGGGCGCGTGTGGGCCAGAAGTTCTGTCACCGCGACACACAGCTCTATATCGGGGTGCCCGCCCCCCGCCCACAGATGCGGCCCCGTGTGGCGCGTGACTGCCGCGTCGACCAGCGTGCGCAGCGGGTGGCGGTGGCCTGCGGTCCCGGCGCGTGGGGGTCGGGCGGGCTGAGGGCAGGCGCGGGCGCATCAGAGTGACGGCCAAGGACATGCCGTGCAGGCACCGCGTGATGAAAAAACATCGTCGCAATGCGGGGAGCAGGGTCTCGCTGACGAGGCGCATCCGAGCCCGGCAGTCGAAGTGCCCTCCCCGTAAACCGCGCTCCTTCAAAAGCCCGCGGCCCCCTGCCGGCCAAGGGGAGCGCACCGAACGGCGGCACGGTGCCCACTGCGTATCCCGAGTGCAGCAGCGCGTCGCCTGTCGACGCCAGCCGCACCCTGCGGCGCGACACGCCCAGGTGGCGGGCCAGCTTCCGCTCGTCAACCTGCGGTTGGGACCGTGGTTGATGACGAAAACCACGCGTGAGGCTCATCGCCGAATAATGACAACCATGAATTCAAAAACAACACACTTGATGATGATGGATATGAATGGCAGGAGGGGGCAGTTGTGGGTCAACCTGTCGGCTCCCATTGCTTTCAAGATCAACATCTGGGCTGCCGCACCCCAGACTCGCACGTCCCACAGGCCGACAAGGCGCAGCAGCCCCGCCGCACGCCTGGCCACCGCGCGTCGGGGACGCGAGCCGCAAGCACGCCACCCCCTCCCCCCGCCGGCCTGTGCGGCGACCGCCCGTCTCCACCCCCCCCGAAAAGCCAAACCCTGTGGACCCGCGCGCCTTTGAGGAGAGCTTCGCGACCACCAGCACTGGCTGCAGGCCGGCGCTGAACACCAGGGACTTGATGACATCATCATCCGCCAGGTCAGGCGGCCGCGGCAGCAGCCGCGCCTGCGCCGCGAGGGGGCGCGGGGCGCGGCAGACGTGACCCACGCTGGCGGCGGGTGAGATCGACGACTGCGTGTAGTGCAGCGCGAGCGCGCTGCTGGTGTTCTTGCATTGTGTAAGCATACGTCTGTGCCGTAGCCTGCCCTGCACATGATCCTCTTCCTATAAACCAGCCTGATCCCGCTTGCCTGCAGCCTTTTCGCGTCGATGTACGCCTGCAGGTCCGCGTCGGTGAGCGGCGTGGGCGGCGCAGCGGTGGAGGTTGTCACGGCCGTGCTGCAGCGCGCGATCAGATGGAATCTATGCGATCTCAACATGCCGCTCAACCTGCAATTCGGCCGTGGCCGAGGGCACTGCGACAACGATCTCATCCTGTTGACGCCTTTTGAAAGCGCAGAGTGCTTTGACGCGTGAAGTAATCAAAACATCCTGGCTGCAAGCAGGTTTCACAGTGAAGGAGGCAGTCAAAATGTGGGGTGCCGCCAACGGGTGTGTGGCAGCCGCACCTCCAGCCACACCCCACTCCAACTTGCCAACGTACGCTGCAGCGCCAGCGTAGCAATCAACGTGTTACTACGTCTTAGCGAAGATGTGTCTTCAACAGGCTCACTCACAAATGAGTACATGTGCTGGCTAACCAGCCGGAGAGGGAGAAAGCTCGTGTTGACCATCAGACAGGTGTTGACCGATGCGGGTGGATTCAAGCTCTGTAGGTACGGTAATGGTCCGTGCGAATCAGTCAACTGTAAGCCAAATTCGTAATTCTGCTCTCAAACGATCATCCGCATACGTTTCAAGCTGGGGGCCGTCGCGGCAAAGCGAGCTGCTGCATCACGGACGGCCGAGTGTCCGAGCACATCACTGGCGGCCGACTCAGTGCACACGCAGCCGCTGCACCACACCCGGCGTTTCTTGAGCGGCGGCTGCCGCCATCGCAGCGCGGACGCGCTCGTCGTCCTGCACCTGCACAGTGTTGCGGCGGTTCAAGAGACGGGGGTTCATTGGGGGGCAGCCAGGGGCACACCGACACGCGAGCATTTATCCTGCACACTTGCCAGGGCCGGGCCCGCCCCGCCCCGCCCCGTGCTGCCCCGCCCCCCCATCGCGTGATGCGGCACGTGCTGCGCAGCGCCGTCGCGCCGCGAGGGCCTCTGCATCCGCGCCGCCGCCCCGGTGGCTCACCCCCAGCAGCCGCGGCAGCAGCAGGCCGGCCCGGCCCTTGAAAGTGAGCGCGCACAGCCGGCTGTTGCTGGTGGGCTCCAGGTTGCACTCCACCACCGGGACGCCGCGCGACCAGACGTGAGGCGCGTACCTGCAGCACGGCAGGCAGAATGGCAGGTAGATAGGATGAGGCTGGCGAGAACTCCGGACAATGTCGCTGCGCCCCATTCACACAGCTTGCTGCATCTCTAACGGGGCCCTCCTGGCCCCGCGAACCGCTGCTCGCGAGGGTAGGGAACTAGTTGCGGGCGGGCGCAGCGGAGGCGGGGAATGGGGCGTCACGAGCCGGAGAGGCGTCACCGGCCGGGCGCAGCCGCCCACGCACTCACCCTGCTGCGGGGTACACGACCGCCGAGGTGCCCACGATCAGCAGCAGGTCGCACGCGTCAAGTATCCCCTCCACCTGGCGGGCCGCGGCCCACGTACACGTGTAACGTATTTGCGTGCGTGTGAGGGCGGCCACGCCACCTCGGGCGCGGGCCACGCCGCCTGTGCTCCCCCCTGGGATGTACCTGGGGGAGCGGCTGCCAGCGCCGCCAACCGTGCCAGGCGTGCGTGCGTGCGCCGGGAAACCCACCCCTTGCCAGGCTCCTGCATCTTCTTGCGCCTCTCCACCCCTTTATTTCCCGTAGACACTTTTTAGCCGTAATTGTCAATGGAAGCATTGCAATCAATAAGCGCGTGTTCCTCTGCACAGCCAGATTCAATGCTTTGACGTTGTCCGTTCTGCCCCACGCACCTTGTCGGCCACGGCTTGGTCCAGGTTCTCGTTGAACCACACGACACCAGGGCGCAGCAGGCGACCGGCGTCGTCATGCGGCAGGTCCTCCTCTAGGGGCGGTGTGGCAGAAGTGTGCGCCAAAACGTATGAGAGAGAGAGTGTGTGTGTGTGTGAGTGTGTGCATGTGAGTGTGGAAGCAAGGGTAAGTGTGAGAGCGTGCGCGCGCGTGTGTGTGTGTGTGTGTGTGTGTGTGTGTGTGTGTAAGAGTGTATGTGTGCGTGTCTGCGTGTGGAGGTGTGTGTGTGTAAGAGTGTATGTGTGCGTGTCTATGTGTGGAGGTGTGTGTGTGTTTGCATGTTGTGTGTGAGTGTGTGAGTCCGTGTGTGAGTATTTAAGTGTTTCACGCTGATCTTTGGATATGTGGGGTATTGCAATTTGTGGGGGGTAGGTGGGGGAGAGAGGTTGAGAGCCGCGCACGGGGCATGAAAGGAGGGTTGCATATGGCCAGGCAGGTGGGCCAGACTCAGAGAGAGTTAGGAGGCGCCGGGCCCATCAACATGCGCTGACGTAGGCCCGGCCCCTCGACGCCTGCATGAGCAGGGCGGAGTCCTCACCAGCAATCTCGCCGCACAAGCCGCTCGGGTCGCCGCGGCCCTCCAGAGCCGGCACGAGCGGCTGCGCATGGCGCCGTAAGCAACGGCCAGAGGCGAAGGGGTGGTGCAAGAGGTCGCTAACTTGCAAAGCGTCAAGATCTCCCACCAGCACGGCCCGCGGCGCCCGTGCAGCCCCGCGTCCATCGCCCCTCACCTGCGGCAACGCACACGGCAAATGCCTTGGCGAGGCCCAGGCGCGCGCGCCGCCCGTGCCCGCCGCTGCGTCAACATGCAGCCATTGGGATTTCACCCCGACCCCTCGCACACCTGGCGCCTGTCCTGCCAGCAGGGGCCGTCCTTGTGGCCTGTGGGCGTCGCGCGGCACACGTCCCAGATGCTGCCGTGCAGCTGCACAGCGGACTCGCTGCCCGCGGCCTGAGGGCCGCCACGTGGGGATCGGGGCGCGCGTCATGGCAAGAAAGGGGGCGCGCATGCCTCATGCCCGCGCGCCCTCGCTGCTTGTGCTGCCCCGCGTGCGACGCCACAGCGGCTGCCGACGCGCCTGCTCAACCGCCGGCTGCCTGCGGAAGCCGCCCTCGGGCCGACTCGACCCCCATTGCAATGCGGCGCACGCTGCCACGCACGCAGCGCCACCGCCTGCCCTGCATTTCCTCTGCCCTGTCCCTTTCGGACAGAGCAACCAAATGGTTGCTGCACATGTGGCTTCAATGCCTGCTCTGTCACTTTGAAACATAGCAACCGATGAAATGGACATGGTAAACACCAGAGCAACATGTGCAAAACGTGAGACGGTGCTGCAGGCACAGACCCCAGCCACCCCAGTCATCACCAAGTGGAGGCCGTCCACATTCTGAGTCATCAACGACACGACCCGTCCCTCCTGCGCCGTGCGGCGCTCGAACGCGGCCAGGGCGTAGTGCGCGGCGTTGGGCCG